CTTTCTTGATCAGGCTGGTGGTGTTGTTGCTCCAGCTGAGGTTGTCATTCATGTGTACACCCAAGTACTTGTAGCTGGAGACCACTTCCACCGCAGATCCTCTTATGTTCAGGGGGGTGTAGGTGTTTTTGTTCCTTCTGAAGTCCACAATCATCTCCTTTGTCTTCTTCACATTGATGTGAAGGTTATTCTCTTTGCACCAGCTCTCCAGGTGTTCCACCTCTTGCCTGTAGCTGGACTCATCATTGTTTGTGATGCATCCCACCACCGCTGTATCATCTGCAAACTTTACAATGTGACAGCCTGGATGGGTAGCTGCACAATCATATGTGAGCAGAGTAAACAGGAGGGGGCTCAACACACATCCCTGAGGAGAGCCAGTGCTGAGGGTTATGGTGGAGGAGGAGAGGTTGTGGATCCTCACTAACTGTGGTCTGTTTGTTAAAAAGTCTAGTACCCAGTTGCAGATGGAGGGGCTTAGTCCTAGTGTGGATAGTTTATCCATCAGGGTTTGGGGGATCATGGTGTTGAAGGCGGATGTGAAGTCCACAAAGAGCAAAGAGTAAGAGTTTTTCTGCTCCAGGTGGTTGAGCGCAGTGTGGACCACAGAGGAGATGGCATCCTCTGTTGATCGGTTCTCACGGTATGCGTACTGATGAGGGTCCTCGTTGATGTTGATGGTTGTTTTGATGTGAGTCATGACCAGTTTTTCGAAGCATTTAGCGACTATCGGGGTGAGGGCCACTGGCCGATAGTCATTCAGACCAGTCACTGTAGAGCTTTTTGGGACTGGGATGATGGTGGCAGTCTTCAGGCAGGTGGGAACTGTCTCCAGGGTAAGTGAGGTGTTAAAGATGTCTGCCAGCACCTCACAGAGCTGATCAGCACATTCCTTCAACACTTTTCCGGGGATGTTGTCTGGGCCAGTTGCTTTGTGCGGATTAATCCTCCTGAAGGTACTCCTTACTTCTGCTGAGGTCACGCTGAGATGCTCTTCATCCGGTGGTGAGGTGAGTCTGGTGCTGGGTGGTCTGTTCGGGTCTTCAAAGCGTGCATAGAACTTGTTGAGGGCATCAGGCAGAGATGGGTCTTTGGGACATTGTTCACTCCTTCCTTTATAATCTGTTATGCACTTAATGCCCCTCCACATGCTCCGAGGGTCTTGTGAGATGAATTGACCCTCGATCCTCTTTGCATATGTGGCCTTGGCCCTCTTAATACCAGCAACCAGCTCTTTTCTTGTCCTACTCAGCTCCTCTGAGTTTCCAGACCTGAAGGCAGTGTTCCTGGCTTCCAGCAGGGTGCGCACCTCTGCATTCAGCCAAGGTTTTCTGTTTGGGTAGCTTTTAACATTTCTGTATATATATATATATATATATATATATATATACATACATATATACCTGTCCCTATTTTTAGGACCCTTGGCTCTGTGGTTCTAGCCTGGCCAAGTAGGTATGAAAATGTGACGTCAGAACACTGTCGGTCACTGATTGGTCAGGGCGGAGTCACTGGATCTTTCAGAAACTTTTCAAAACAGTGATCTGCCATTTGCAATTTCTCGAACCGGAGCAGCGGCTGGACCTATTTTAAAGATTTTTAAAACAATAAAGACAACACCTTGGTCTAAAATGCTGAAGTGCTGGCGTTTTTTGTGCTTTGTGGCCAATGACAAAATTCAGAGAGAGCTGGATGGAGCTCTGCTAGTCTGCCCCGGTCCTCTGCCCCGGAGACTTGGAGCCAGGCATCATCTTCTTAGATCTGAGCTCCGCTGGTCACTGTGGAAGGTCCTCTTTGGTGCTGACTCGGGGTTCGGGCTCCTGATCCCGGCTTTGCTTGCGCAGAGCTCCACTGGTCACCACGAAGACTCATACGAGCTGGTGACTCGTTGAAGGCCGTTGCCAGACCCCGGCCTCGTGTAATCATTAAGGCCGAACTCCGATCCCGGCAGACTGATAGACTGGGGCGAGTTTTGGACAGATGAAGGAAGCGATTTTTAAATAAACTAATACTTTTATACATAAAATGTTTTTAAAAATCGCTGAAGCGATAAAAAAAAAAAAACGAATTTTTTTTTTATATATATACAGTATACATAAAATGTTATTAAAAATATCCTGGTGCATGCTCAATAATCCAGGTAGAAAAATCCCAAAAAGTTCAATCTAGTCCTCTAGACATTCAAATATGAATGTGAGCAGCTGCTTTTGGTTGTCAGCAGCAAACTGGTTGATCCACTCTGAGAAGGTGCTATTTAAGAGACTGAGCTGAATACAGCACCTCAGACTGAGGAAGTCTCTCGGATGAAAGACGAAACATTTCTACATTTTTTTGCTTTTTTTTTTTTGTTTTTTTTTTAATGTCCAGAGGACCAGATTGAACTTTTTTTGAACCCCGCCCAATGGAACCGGAACTGAAAGCATAATGGAAACACAATGTGTACCGTACCGAGTAGAGTAGAGCCGTGCTGTACCAGTACTACAGCTACTAATGGAAAAGGGGCATTAGACTCTCACCAGAATGAAAATGTCTGTAACAAACTAGCAGGTATCTTGGAACGCTGGAGAAGGTTATATAGGACGTCTCAGTGCTGATATCCAAGCCAATCATCTCCTTTTTGTTTGGTCCCTCGCATTGTTTCCAGGCAAGAAAACAATGAAACGAAAGTCAGACCATTGCTAAATTGTTTTAACCTACGTAGATTTAAAAAAATTCAGCAAGAAAGTTTTATTTTCGAGAACAGTAAAGATGGTGATCCTATCCCATCGGCCACCGCGTCGCGGACACAGTGACGTCACTGTGACGACCCTGTCAGGTGACTGTTCTGAAGCTCTGTACTTTAATGCATCATTTTTTCCCCCACTTAGATTATTATAAAAGTAATCCCCACAATCCTACAAGTGTTTTTAGAAGAAAGTTGTTGTATATTAGATATTTGGACAGGGGCTGCATTGGTATATTTTATAATTTATTCAGATGTTTTCCAGTTACCTTCCCTCCAATGTTCCTGCCAAACTGAGCCCCTGTGCAACCGTGCACTGCTTGAACATTCTCTGCGCACAAGAAAATCTATGCAGCGCATAAAATATGACACAATACAGTTCACTTACACTACGCAGCCAAAGCCAGTCATAGCCCTGACAGTGCTTGCTTTACGCAAGTTAGTTGCATTACGTTTTTGAACTTTTTTGAATTGCGTTACGTTAGTTGTGTTGCGCAAGTGCCATGGCGCGTATGGGCAGGGCACATACGCCACTTGTGTTTGTGTCATAACTTGCGTAACGCAAGGTTATGGCACATACGTTAGCTAGGTTAGCTAGGTAACAATAGTGAGGCGGAGTTAAGAGACGCAAATGCTAAACCCTTATCATGGCGAAATGAACGGGCAGTAACAAATCCACTCACCAAACTAAAGTAAAAAAAGAAATGTGGTTATTTTAAGAGCAGCACGGTGGCACAACTGGTAGAGCTGCTGCCTCTCAGCAAGCAGGTCCCTGGTTCAAATCTGGTCCAGGGGCCTTTCTGGGTGGAGTTTGCATGTTCTGTCTGTGCATGTGTGGGTTTTCTCCGGGTGCTCCGGTTTCCTCTCACAGACCAAAAACATGCATGTTAGGCTGATTGGTAACTCTAAATTGTCCCTAGGTGTGAGTGAGAGAGTGAATGGCTGTTTGTCTCGTTTGTCTCTATGTGTCCCTGTGATGGACTGGAGACCTGTCCAGGGTGTACCCCGCCCCTCGCACAGTGATTGCCGGACATGGGCACCGGCGACCCCCGTGACCCAAAATGGAAGAAGTGGGTAAAGATAATGGATGGATGGATGGATGGATGGATGGATGGATGGATGGTTCTTTTAAGGTGGAATGGCTGTCGGAGTATCTGTAAGCAGAAGAACAAGCAGTGAAACTGTGTGAGATTTTTTCCTTTTTCGAGTGAGAAAAGCCTGTGTAACAGAGATGAACATTTTAATGAATTTCACCAAAACTGATGTGCTGTGATCTGCTCTGCAAAACATGCAGCAAAGCCAAGGTAGCAAGTGATCCAAAAAAGTTCAATCTGGTCCTCTGGACATTCAAAAAAAAAAAAAAAACCCAAAGCAAAAAAATCTAGAAACGTTTCGTCTTTCATCCGAGAGTCTTCCTCAGTCTGAGGTGCTGTATTCAGCTCAGTCTCTTAAATAGCACCTTCTCAGAGTGGATCAACCAGTTTGCTACTGACAACCAAAACCAGCTGATCACATGCTCAAGAAGGACCATCAGCCTAACAATGGATCATTAGCACCTGATGGCTGTTTACTGTTCACAGAGGGCTGAGTGATACTAGCAATCACAGCATTGTAAGAGGGGGACAGTTGAACACGGAGGCTCCACCCCTGTTTAATGATGGACGGTTTCTTTTCACAAAGATGGCCTCCTTTACTCCTCTCTCAAACCATCGTTCCTCTCTGTCCAGGATGTGAACATCTTCATCCTTGAAAGAGTGACCGCTGGCCTGGAGATGAGTGTAGACCTCAGAGTCCTGGCCTGATGATGTTGATCTTCTGTGCTGGGCCATCCTTTTGGCCAGTGGCTGTTTAGTTTCCCCGATGTAAGACTGATCACCTTCCTGACACTGAGCAGCATACACAACATTGCTCTGTTTGTGCTGGGGGACTGGATCTTTGGGATGAACCAGACTTTAATGTATTTTGGGGTTTAAAAGCCACTGGGACGTTATGTTTAGAAAATAAACGTCTCAGTTTCTCTGATACTCCCTCAACATACGGAATGACCACTGGTCTGGGTTCCTCCTTTTCACCTGTTGGCTGACTGGAGTCCTGTTTGGGTTTCTTCTCTGCTTTCAGGAAGGCCCAGTTAGGATATCCACATTGCTCTAGAGCCTGTCTTGTGTAGGATTTCTCCTTCTGCCTGGCTCCTGAGTTAGTGGGGACGCTGTCTGCTCTGTGGTACAGAGTCCTGATGACTCCTAACTCCCAACTCCTTTATTTATACTGATTAGTCTCACTGAGCCTTGATATATTACATACTACACATCTCATGAACAACAAGAATTTTGTATTGTTAATTTTAAGTGGGTCAAATCACATATTAAAAGTAAGCTAATGGAAATTGCTGTTGTAATTAGATTTTTTAATAAGCCTTGTACTGAGGACCAGATTGAACTTTTTTGGATTTTTTTACCTGGATTATTGAGCATGCATCAGGATAAGGTAGCAAGTGAGTTTTGGATACACAGTGTATAGTGGAGTGACCGTGTCAAAGAGGCAATGGGGACCTCATCAGCTGATGGCAGAAATACTGGTGAGATTACTATTTATTAGTAAGCTCTGTGATCACATGGATACTCGTTTTCTAGAGGATGAATTAAAAGAGTGGTCTGCCCTGACATTGAAACATTGAGCTCAGACATCAGTTTTGACTATGGATCAACAGACATTGCCACACTGGCAAAGAAGTTGGAGGCCATTAAAAGTCAATATGCTGAATTCAAGTACATAATGAAGCAACTTAAACAGGGGTCAATCAGCACATTCTCAGATATGGTGGCTGCAGCACTTAGATGTGAGGAGCTAAAGAAGATTTCACAACTTGTGGATATTTGTGCTACATTTCAAGCTTCCAGTGCAGATTGTGAAAGAGGATTTACTTTAATGAATCATATCAAACCAGTATCCAGAAACTGTCTTGAAGTGGCACATTTGGACCAGCTGATGCGCATAAAGTCAAAGCAAGAAGCAGATGGAGCCATCAACCTGGACAAAGTGTACAACCATTGGAGAAGTGAGAGGACAGACGTGAAAAATAAGGTAAAATTTAAGTCAGATTTGTGCATATTCTAGTGACATTTATTAGGATTTTTTTTATTTCTTGATATTAATCATTAAATGCTGTTACTACTAGATAATTTATGGGTAGTAGAAATGCTAATAAAAACTGTAATTAGATATTTTACTAATAAAGCGTTACATGAATTTACACTGTATCACAATCTAGAGCACACATGTCATTGTGCAAAATGTGAATGTTTTAATGTGAACAAAATGTTATGTCTGAAAGATGTAAATGTCTCATTTCTTCCAGAGCAGGACCCTCACCTAGACCACAACTGGACCCTCACCCAGACCAACGCAGGACTCTTCCCATGGCCAAAGCAAGACTCTCACATATTTTCAGTTCAATTCAATCCAATCCAACGTTTATTTATACTGGTTAGTCTCACTGAGCCTTGATATATTACACACTACACATCTCATGAACAACAAGAATTTTGTATTGTTCATTTTAAGTGGGTCAAATCACATATTAAAAGTAAACTAATGGAAGTTACTGTTGTAATTTGATTCTTTAATAAGCCATGTACTGTAACTTGCTATGATCCCAGGTTTTGAACAGGTGTGATACTGGTGTGTGGCCACAGCTTGCACATCTGATGTTGCTCACAGTGGTCCTCAGTGTGCTCAGGGAGCTTGTGTGTTTGTCCGGACACATGAAAAATTAGACGGAACATTGCTTCCCTCTTCTATTCTTTACCAACAGAGAAAGTTTGCTGATATGGTTTTAAAAAGAATAGCTTAATCAGTCAGTGGTCACACTAAAAGTCTTTACAGTTATATTTTGTGCTATTGTTGTAGTTTCCAGCTGTAAACCACCCCCAGACCTTGGAGCGGAAGTATCTTGGGATCATCGGGGGAGGCCTACTCAACCTGCTGAAGGTAAAGCTTGAATAGATTGGCTGCTTTTGCTGAGGCATTCTTTTTCTTCTTCTTTTGACACTTTTTCCAGTTTCAGTTGTTTCCTGGTCAATTTATCAAGATTCAAGGTTCTTTATTGTCATTCACATCACATGTGGTACATGAGGCGGAATGAAATTGTGTACTCAAGGTCCCAGTTACACCCCAAAATAGCAAACATATAAAGTATAAAAAGAAACAGTATACATTGATTTAAGATATACGCTAAACAACAATAAAAATTTAATATAATACGGTGTATTAAACAGCAGTCTGAACATGAGTCTTTTGTGAGCAGATGGGTATGAATACAACAGCTTAAAGGCAAGAAATCAGTAGCATGGATAATCAGTAGCACAGATAATCACACATCACTGGGGGCTCATTTACAAAAAAGACCTGAGATATACTCACTTCCTGTCAGGTCGTGCTCGTGTGGTTGCTCTTGTGGTTGATCGACTGGCTCGTAGAGCAGTTTTAGGGTGTTTTTTAGAGTAGTTTTTGTTTTTTTATTCATGCCTCTGTTAATCCAGAGTACTCATTGCATGTAGTACATGTAATTGTATTTGTCTTTGTTTCCTTGTTGACACTTTTTGATATATTTGTGTCCAGCACGACTAGCGTTAGCAGTAGCCAATGCTACAACAGTTTTTGCTGTCTCGTTTGGATTGTTATAAAGTCCCACAATATGGACATTCAAGGACTCTTTCAGGCACTACTATTACTTCTTTTTCTGATTTTACCGAACCTAGTCCACGGCAACGGATTTAATCTTGCTGACCCCAGTAGATCACATCATCCAGAGATGCTCTGATACTGCTTGAATTCAACTCCCATTTCACCATTACCACAGACTCATCTTCTGAGGAAATATGATGAAAAAACTCATCTAACATAGGTAACTCCATTCATCACAAACACAAGGTAACCAGAAGGGGGAAAAAAGGGTGGAAGAAGAGCCAGACTGAAGCGGGAGGATGTAAACAAAGGCCACTCCCCTCTGTGATTCTAGCTAATGTGCGCTCACTCCGAAACAAGTTAGACAAGCTGCAAGCTAATATAATCCATCTTCATGAATACAGGACTGTTTCTATTTAGGCTTTTACGGAAACCTGACTGTAACAATGACAGAGATAATACACTACACATTGATGGCTTCGCTCTCCCAATAAGACTGGATAGGGAAAGTGAGCTCACTGGCAAACAACATGGCGGCTGTGTTTGTCTCTACATGAACTCATGTTGGTGTACTACTGTTGTGGTGAGGGAGAAGTTTAGTACCACAGACATTGAACTCTTGGCTGTTTCCCTTCATCCCTTTTATTTACCTAGGGAATTTCTACGGCTCTTTTTCATGCTGGTGTACATTCACCCGAAATCCAACACTGTCACTGCCACTGAACATATCATGGCATCACTGAATAGACTGGAACGCATCTCACCAGACTCACCAAAAAACTTTTGGGGTGATTTCAACCACTGCTCCCCAGGGAAAGCCCTTAAAGGTTTTCATCAATATGTTACATGTATCACCTGCCAGGGAAAGACACTAGACAAATGCTACAGGTCACTTCCAGATGCAGTTAGGTCTGTTATACTCCCCGCCTCTAGGCTCTGCTGACCACAGCACTGTTTTGCACATCCCAGCATACATTTCTACTATAAGGAGGGTTAAGAAGGTTACTCGGAACATCAAACAGTGGACCAATGACAGCATTCTAGCTCTCCAAGGATGTCTTGAGTCCACAGACTGGATTAACCTCTTAATCCCCTCCAACGACCTCAATAAGCAGTTGGACACCATTTCTTCCTACATCTCATTCTGTGTGGACAGTATTATTCCTTCTAAAACTGTCACAATCTTCACCAACAATCAAGTCTATTGGTTAAGAAATCCAGGATCCAGTTGCATTGCGAGGGGCTTAGTCCAAGTGTGAGTAGTTTATCCATTTGGGTGTGGGGAATCATGGTGTTGAAAGCGGATGTGAAGTCCACAAAGAGCATATGGTTATAGCAGTCCTTCTGCAACAGGTGAGTGAGAGCAATGTGAACTACAGAGGAAATGGCGTCCTCTGTTGATCGATTTTTGCAGTATGCATACTGATCAGGGTCTTCGCTGATGTCGATGGTAACGTTGATGTGGGCCAAGATCAGCCTTTCAAAGCATTTAGCGACTATCAGGGTGAGGGTTACTAGCCGTTAGTCATTCAGTCCAGTCGCTGCGGAGCTCTTAGGAATGGGGATGATAGTAGCAGTCTTCAGGCAGGTGGGAACAGTTGCCAGGGTGATGGAGGAGTCAGCACCTCACAGAACTGATCGGCAGTCCCTCAGCACCCTGGCCCAGGCAAGGGTGCCTGGGCCAGTGGCTTTGTGAGAATTAATTCTCCTGAAGGTCCTCTTTACTTCTGCTGAGGTCACACTGAAGAACTTCTCTTCAGATGGTGAGGTAAGTCTGGTGCTGACTGATTTATTTTGGTCTTCAAAGTGGGCATAAAACCTGTAAAGAGTATCAGGCAGTGATAGATCTCTAAGGCATTGTGCATCTCTGCATTTAAAGTATGTTATGCACTCAATGCCCTTCCACTTGCTCCGTGGGTCCTGTGAGGAGAAATGTCCTTGGATCTTGGTTGAGCTGATGCAAGATGGCGCCGTTGTACGGGGCTTGCCATCTGTCTCTCCTCAAGTTGTTACTTGTTGTCCTATTTTCCTAACTTTTGCTCAGATTGTGTCATCACTGTTTACCTATGACCACCAGACACTTCTAAATATTAATTCCATTGTGGGAAAAGTTCCGCTTCATGAACTTTATGGACAAACACTTTTCCTCCACTTTACCTGGCATCCATACCTTCATTTTTATGGAATCCTTGTGTTGTGGTTGCCCACAGCATGCACCGTCGCAGGAGACGCAGCAGGAGGGGTGGGTTGCTTGTGAAGCTCCGGGCTCATTTCATCTCTTCTTCATTCCAGTCTTCATGTAGGGTAGGATTCTCAGGAAATACAACTTTGTTGACATATGATACCCCATGGAATATTCCTACAGTTGGCTACACGTCATAGATACGGACACCGGCAGCAGTGCATTTCCTGGTCTTCAGTGTGCAAAGATCTGTAGGTGTGGCAGCGTTCAGAAGAACCTCCGCTCCTTTGATCGCGCATCCCAGGATAGCAGCCAGTGCTCCATCCGGATGCTTATCGCCCACCTAAATTTAATAAGGAATTAATTCAAGAATTCTCTGAATTCCTTGCTGATATTATTTCCAACTATGACAGTTTTTTAATTTGTGGTTATTTTAATATTCATGTTTGTTGTCCCACTGACTCACCGTTTTTTTTTTATGAATGCGGGTGTACCCAGACAAAAGACCAGAACTGAACAGACACCAGGACTCAGATAATAGTTTACAGTGTTTATTTACAGGTTTGTGATAAATAAGACATCAATGAGGGAACGGGAACACCTGGGGAGAGAGCGGTAATTTAAAGGGCTGTGGTTGGATGAGAATTTATCTTGTTGAATAGTTCTTACGGTTTGTAGCAAGAAACAGAATGACAAGGTATTTTGTCCAGATGGTATCCAGTGGCACAAGGTGAAACAACAAGTAGATTTAGGCAAGTGGTGGAAGGCATCCAGCAATTGTAGAGAGGCAGAAGGAGTCACAGCTCATATGGAACTCAAGCAGGGCAGGTAACAGCAAGATCCAAACTCTGAGGAAGCGTAGAGAAAAAAACACAATATTAGTTTTCACTAATATCACAGAACAACTGGCCAGAACACAACTACCGTTGGTAGGCAATGTCCCAGCGCCTGCAGAGTGGTTCCTGAATCTTCTTATACTCCTCCTGGGTGTTGAGTTGATCATCTGCAGCTGGTGCCAATTAGGAGTGTAGAGGAGAGAAGAAGGCATGGTGCAGGGCAGGATCCTTACAGGCTTCTGAGTTTTTAAGGCTTTTGGCTTCTTTTAATGTAACACAATCATTGAATATCCTGATGCATGCTCAATAATCCAGGTAGAAAAATTCAAAAAAGTTCAATCTGGTCCTCTGGACATTCAAAAAAAAAAAAAACTAAGCAAGAAAATGTAGAAATGTTTCGTCTCTCATCCGAAAGACTTCCTCAGTCTGAGGTGCTGTATTTAAGAGACTGAGCTGAATACAGCACCTCAGACTGAGGAAGTCTTTCGGATGAGAGACGAAACGTTTCTACATTTTCTTGCTTTGTTTTTTGTTTTTTTGAATGTCCAGAGGACCAGATTGAACTTTTTTGGACAATCATTGAATGCTTCAACACATCATCTTGGCCATACTCTGGACCTTATTATTTCTCATGGACTGTCTATTTCTCAATGTGAAATTTCTGAGTCTGCCATCTCGGATCGTTTCCCTATTTTTTTTTTCAATTTACAACCTCCCACCAGGCCATGAAGCCTCTAGCTGCGGGGTGTCATCGCCGCTGTCTCACCTCAGATAGTGCCAGACAGTTTACCACTGCTTTTATAGACTCACAGTTTTATTTAGTTGGTTGTTGATGTTTCTCTGTGTCCCAAAGATTTTTGTCACTGTTTTCTGAAACCTGTACTGGGATCCTGGACTCTATTGCTCCAGTCAAGTTCAGACACCCTAAACCCAGAGTTGAGCCTTGGCTGAAAAACCCTAATGCATGCAAACTCAGGAGGCAATGTAGAAGGGCTAAAAGACTGTGGAAGAATGAAAGGCAACATAATTATTTGGTTTTATTAAGGAGAACTCTTGTTCTGTATCAGAGATCCGTTAATGATGCAAAATCACAATTTCTGTCTAACATTATCACAAACAGTAGTCACTGTCCCAGGGTATTATTTAATTACAGTTAGCTATGTTTTTAATCCACCCACCTTGGTCTTACCTGATGCCTCAGCCTCCGCCTGTGAAAAATTTCTCTCCTTTTTTATTGATAAAGTTACATCTGTTAGACAAGCCACAGGTACACCAGCTACTTCTGT